CGGGCCGTCGGCGCCCGCCCGCGCCCCGCGCGCCCCGCTGCAGCCGGCGCCCGCCCGCGCCGCGCACAAACTTCTCCGGGCCAGCGGGCGCGGGCGGCGGCGACGGGGCCCGGATGGGCGCCCGGGCCGGTGGCGGCGGCGCCCATGGACGCTAACCGCCCGGGCGCGTTTGTGCTGAGCAGCGCGCCGCTGGCTGCGCTGCACAACATGGCCGAAATGAAGACGTCGCTGTTCCCGTACGCGCTGCAGGGCCCGGCTGGCTTCAAGGCGCCCGCACTGGGAAGCCTTGGCACGCAGTTGCCGCTGGGCACCCCGCACGGCATCAGCGACATCCTGGGGCGGCCAGTGGGCGCGGCGGGCGGCGGCCTCCTGGGCGGCCTGCCCCGCCTCAATGGGCTGGCCTCGTCGGCCGGCGTCTACTTTGGGCCCGCGGCCGCCGTGGCGCGCGGCTACCCCAAGCCTCTGGCCGAGTTGCCCGGGCGCCCGCCTATTTTCTGGCCCGGCGTGGTGCAGGGCTCACCCTGGAGGGACCCGCGCCTGGCCGGCTCGGGTAAGTGGCCCGCGCGGGGCTCTGCGTGGGGCGGGCTGGGCGCGTGGACTGCTCTCACCCGCCCTCCTTCGCAGCCCAAGCCGGCGGGGTGCTGGACAAGGACGGCAAGAAGAAACACTCGAGGCCGACCTTCTCTGGCCAGCAGATCTTCGCGCTGGAGAAGACCTTCGAGCAGACTAAGTACCTGGCGGGCCCAGAGCGCGCGCGGCTCGCCTACTCCCTGGGCATGACCGAGAGCCAGGTGAAGGTGAGCGCGCAGGCCAGGGGCGGCCTCCCTGGGGTCTTGCTGCGCGAAGGCAGACCCCGGCGCCCGCGTCCTGCGAAGGGTCGGCGAGCGGCCGTCCGGCCTCGGCCAACCCCGAGAGGCGCCGCTGCACGGGTGCGCGGTGCTGGCCACGGGCGGACGGCGGGGTCGGGCCGGGTCCGCCGGGGAGGCCAGCGTTGTAGAGGACTCGGAATTTCGGAGGCCCCTCTGACGGACCTCTCCCGCCCCCAGGTGTGGTTTCAGAACCGCAGGACCAAGTGGCGCAAGCGGCACGCGGCGGAGATGGCGTCGGCCAAGAAGAAGCAGGACTCAGACGCAGAGAAGCTGAAGGTGGGCGGCTCGGACGCGGAGGACGATGACGAGTACAACCGGCCCCTGGACCCCAACTCGGACGATGAGAAGATCACGCGGCTGCTCAAGAAGCACAAACCCTCGAACTTGGCGCTGGTCAGCCCATGCGGCGGCGCGGGGGACGCCTTGTGAGGACGCGGCCGGGCGGAGGACCAGGAAGCCGGGCGCCCGGCGCCCCAGAAGCCCGCCGCCCGTGCCGCAGCGTGTATATATATTTTTACAAATAAGTTATAAAGCGGCCCGGCTCCGGCTCGGCGTGCGGGGCCCGGCGGCGTCCCTTGGTGTGGGCGCGGGGTTCGGGCGATCACTTTGTATAATCAATAAATTATTTAACACGTCCGGGTCGGAGCCGCGGCTCCCGAGGCTGCACCGCGTGTTTCTTCCGTACCGAGCGTGGCGCCTGCGGGCGGGCAGCAAGGGCCTCCGGGCCGCGTCCCGTCGGTCCTCCCCGCGAGGCGCGGGGCCTGGCACAGGCGGGCACGGTGGCGCGCGATCGCGCCGGAGGCGGCAGCTCTCGGGAGCGTGGAGACAGCGAGGACGGGCGGGGACTCGGCCGACGCGCAGGGAGGGCGACCCGGCCGCGCACCCTCGGGCAGCTGACTAGAAGGAAGGAGCCGCCGCGGAGGCCCCAGTGGAGCCAGACGGAAGCGCGGTGCTCAGCAGGTATGGACCCCCGCGGCCCGGAACAGGCAGCCCCGCACCTCGGGCAGGCCCAGGGTTGCGTTGGCTCATGTGGATGAAGTCTGGGCCAACTGACCACACTTGGGTGTTCCCAAATAGCGAGTAAGCTGCGTGCCGTCCCCCCAACCGGACCCAGCACTGGAGCGATTACTCTCCTTTTGCAGTTGATGGGGGTGGGCTGGCCCTGTCCTTCCAGCAGCGGTCCTACTTTCAGACCAGGCTGGCTCTGCCTCATCCAAGGATATTTTGAAATGATTTTTTAAGTCTTTCAGCCAGAACGATAAATATTTTTAATATGTCTACCAAATTCACCTCGTTTGAAATCAGGTTTGCAGTTCTTCCCTGTGGCCCTTGGGCTCCCATTGTAATAGGTTTTTCATCTGCAGAAAGCACTATTTCATTCAAGCTAGGGCTGCAAAGAGAAATCTGAAATAATTCTGCCCGAAGAAGGACAGCTCATAAATCTCCATGCAGAGCGACCCTGGGATGGCCTCCCAGGGCGGAGGGCTAGCTTCTCAGAGGGGCACAACTTGGAGGGACCTGGGGGAGCCGTTTCACAGGTCACAAGGAACAGCCCATGATCAGGGCTCCTGGTCAGAGCTGGACCTCATCAGCAAGGGCTGCATCTCAGTGGTTCGAACCCATGGGCACAGAGCCCTGGAGCCTACAGCTGACCCTTTCCTAGGCCAGTTTTCTTACCACAAAACCCATCCAGTGCTCTAAACAAGCTGCAGTTGTTACAAAAGCCCATCTGCTGGGTGCACACTCTAGATGCACCTCACTGGGCTCCCTGGGTCGCTGAGTTTTGACTTCATGTAAGTGTAAATGGTCCCATTTTTATGTTAATTACAACATTTCTCTTGGAAGGTGTTTTCAGAAATGTTTAAGAGAATCATGAAGGTCTAGGTTTTGCTTTTTGCCACTTGACATACCAAGGTTAAATCAATTCTTTTTAGCCCCTGTCCCTTGTCCTAAAGGGAAGCCACGCTCTTAAAAAGGGAAGTGGTATCATTTCTGTGAGTTATCTGAGTACAAGGGAAGAGTTGAGTTTCCGGTTTTAAATTTTTAAGGAAAGCAAAGTATTCACATAACCCAGTTACGATGTTGAAGGATATGTCTTTTTTTACTACTATAAAAAGCCCAAAAGATTATTTCCTATTCCTAACTAATGACCCTGTGAAAATATGTGAGACTGAAGTTCCAATGGGTTGAGCTTAACAACAGGGCACAAAAGAGGCCCCTCCTGCCACTTTGCATTTCAGAGGTGACGGACAGGGGAAGCAAGGAGGACAAAGCCAGGGAGAACTGTTTTCACCATGATCAATTTTATTGCTTAGGAACCGAGCAGTCACTTCCAAAGGCCTTCCGAGTGAGAGTCACCGCCGCTGAAGCCCACAGACAGAACTGCTGCGTGGTGCTGCGATGGCGTGTTGGTGAGCAGCGACGGCAGCACTCACAGACCGGCCCTTAGCGTGGAGAGCCTGGGTCCGAGCAGAGACCAAATCACTCGCGGTTGTAGTGGTGGTGTTTGTGCAGACACCCACGTCGACCTCACGCCGTGCCCAGTCCAGGAGCTGTAGTGTTCTGAAGTAGATAATATGCCGGCGCTGCGTCTCCACCCTGCAGTGGCCCCGGCTGTGCTCAGGCAGGGAGCAGAGGTGGCCACAGGGTGGGCACGGAGGCGCAGTGCGGCCCAGTGCTGCTTCTCTCCCGTGGTCTGTACAGCCCATGTTAGAAGCGATCTCTGTGGGAAGCGGACAAGGCTATTTCTAATTCTCCCACGAGACTATGGTTTAATGTAGAATATTGGCACCATAAAACGGTAACAAAGGACAGACAAAACAGTTTACAAAATCCTTAGAAGGTACACACAGGGTAGCAATAAACTTCACATTCAGTTCTTAATGTTACAGAAAAGGCAGAGGAGTGACAAATTGCTGGCCCAGCGGGTGCAGAGGCCTTGCTCCTGGCACTGCTGGTCACCTGTCTGCGTCCACACCCACTCCACACACCTCGGCCGCAGCTCTGCCCACTGCTACGACGCGCATTCATACTGAAGAGTGTATGTAGCATAAGTTTTGATAAGATTTATAAATTATTCTTAAAAAGTATATATTTATATGTATTTATATATATAAAAATGGGAAGCAGCTGCAGTGTGATTCGGACACCATGTAACATGGCAGTAGAGTCGCCACGGAGCGGCCTGGGCCCGGGCAGGCACTGGAGGCTGCCTCCTGGCAGAGGGCACCGACACCGTGGGGTTCCTAGGCGGGAGAAGCTCCTCCACAGACAATCATTAAAAATGGAAGATTTTGAAATCTAAAATACAGAACCTCTTTGCTATTAGAGTTTTGGCAACAGGATGTGACTTATTATTTTTTTTAAAAAACCCAATGCTTCTACTTAATGTCACACAAACAGACACAACAGTGAGGTATGTGAGGCTTTCCCGGCGTGGTCCGGAGCTGAAGCGAAGTGTGGGCCGGCCGTCGAGCAGGTGCTGCCTGGGCGGGTTTCTGATGCTGCTGCAGGAGTATTTCATACACTGCTACAGGGAGGTCTCACGGAGGGTCCCCTCGCTGCGTGGGCACCTCTTCCCTGAATTGGAGTCAGTAATTTGTTAAAGGTACAAACACACCAGGAAAAGCTGCAGAAAAGGAGAACTGAGGGAAGGAGGCATATTTACCACACGTCACTGCACGACACAACACTTGTGCACACGTGCATGAGGTTTACCTGCCCCGGGCGCCATGCGGAAGGCCAGGAACACGGGCTGCAGCGGGAGAGGAGGGTGTCAGTGCGCACGCGCCGCCACCTCCCACAGAACCACGAGTCTCAGGGCAGCTGGGATGTGTCCCGAGCAGGTGTGTGCTCTGAGCACAGGCCGAGAGCCAGCTGGCCTGGGCCTGCAGCCTGGGGCCAGTCACAGGGCCCCACACAGCCCCTTCGAGTTCCAGACAGAAATCAGCATGAGCACTGGTTTACAGAACTGCTAAGTCAGCCTCAGGCCGGTGGGGAAGGAAAGTGTGTCCAGCCTCTGCCACGCTCCGTGGCCAAGGACCAGAGGACCTAACGTGCTCCCGAGTGTCCCTGGGGACTGCTGGGCTGTTCTGGGTTGGGGAACGAGTGGTCTGTGCGGACTATGGCTGTCCCTGAGTGCTCGGGACCCACAGAACATGCACTTGCTGCTACTCTGCCTGGCGGGCCTGAGCCAGGTGTGAGGCCAGAAAATGTTGCAGGTCCTGGAGCAGCGGGAGAAGTGGCCTGGGCACACAGGAAGCTGCAGAACTAACTACTGCTTCTGGCAAGTGCAAAATGAGGTATCCTGTTTGACTGCAATTAGCCTCCTCTGCTTTCTCCCTACCTGGCCATCTCTCTCTCAGCATTTTATTAAGATTAAATAAAAACCCACCGACTCAGCCTACTCTGTAAAGCCAGAAATAAGGAGGTGAGAAACGCTGCCCACCCTCCCGTCCCCCAGCCTCCTGGCCCCTGGACCGCAGCACGGTGCACGTCACCTTATGGTCTCCCATGCAGACGTTGGGCCCGATGTGGTCATAGGTGACAACCTTCTCCTCGCTCTCAGACTGGAAGCAAACAGAGAGAGGGTGGTGTGGGTGACCCCACCAGCAGGTGAAAGGGGCTTCGGGTATCCTGGGGGCAGAGGGGCGGGACACTGTTTGCTCTGCCCATCTGCGGAGCTCTGGAGGGTGGGAGCGTAACTGGGAGGGAGTGAGCGGCCAGCCAGGCGGGATGTCTGCTGACCTCACAGCACCTCAGCACTCTGGCCAGCCCCTCCCACTGAGAAGAACCCTGCTCCTAAGACAGAGGTGGCATGGAGGTGTGGGGGCATCAGGGCTCCCCCAGGCCTCCTCCTGGCCCACAGGTGGATGGGGCCTGGTTACCAGAGTGTCGGTGCTGCTCTGAAGGTCCTCCTGGGCCCTCTGCTTCCCTACCTTGCCTAGGACACCTGTTTCTGATGTTGCTGTCAGCCCACAACCCCGTTTACCGCACAGACACACCAACTTTAGCGTGTGTGTGCTGGTGGACACTGTGTGCACACCTCCTTCACCCAGCACCTGGGAGGTTGGCAGGTGCCCATGCTGCAGTGTGGATGGTAGCGGGTTTGTTGATGGCAATCAGTCAGCTCTGATGGGGCTGGAGTTTTACATCCACAACTGAAGCATCCAAGACTATAAAGTTGAAACTGAATTATCTTTAATGCAGTAGGAAGCTTAAGGTCAGATTTACTTTCCAGCATGGTCATCTGCCAGAAAGCATAAAAACACAACCTCGGCACCGCACGCACCAGCACTGCCCATCTTTCACGAGCCTGAGCCGCTGCCGTGGAAGTGGGGAAACATTCATCAAACACAGCGTGGTGATTTGCAAAGGCAGCACAAGATTGTGGATTTTCAACTGCGTGATCTTTGGACAGATAAACAAAT